ACTCTTAATTGTACAATATGTGAACTGTTAGAATTCCCATACAAATACAATCGCTAATAATGACCGTAAAATCTATTAGAACCTCGTTATGAATACTTTTCCAAAAATTAATCTACTTACTATACTCGTATTACAACTCGTTCGTCAGATTTTTTTTATAGTTTATTGGACGACATTTTCTATCAAAACTAGCCGAATCTAACGTGAATGATTTCGAAAGAAACAAACTTTACTAGAAACAAGTCATGTTTATGGTCAGATTACCTTTCAATTTTCCGATCGCGATTTATTAAACTTGCGACAAAAAATCGTCACTAGCTTCAACTCAGACCGACTCAATTCTTTTACCGAATCGCCGTCTAATCTGTCCATAGATATAGCGTAATTACACCAGCAATAATACAGTCTTCTTACTTAGCTTTCGCCCCATAAATTCCACCCGTTGCGTACACAAGTCGTCGGTCCCGCATTCCAAGCAGTTTCAATTCCGTAAAATAAACATAAAGTAATCCGTTTGCTCGCGACCGGGCCCATAACTTATTCGCACGCCCGCAACAATAGATTAGAGCGTAGATAGTGTTACATTCGTAATTGAGATTGATCTACCAGAACGATTGACGTTGGCGCCAGCCGGGGAAAAATCGCGGGAAAACTACGATCGAACTTTTCAACGCGAGTACTGTTTGTAACGCCGCTGGAATGTTTGTTATTACTTACTACGCTAGGAGAAAAAAATATTTTTCCACGAGCGCGCGGCTTATTTTCAGTGGAGTAAGTAATTCTGCGTAGGACACCAATCACGCGTTCGACAGGTCGACGCACGACTAATATCGATTCCCGTCTAACGCTCACTAACAACTGGAGCATGAAAGCATTATATGCGCACGTATACCTATACATATACATACACGGAGCTGATTGCTTCTTTAATATCTAATTTCCTTCAGGTCGCATCGCGAATTCGTTTCTCACGATGGGAGATGCTTTTATTAAATGCCATTCTGCTGCGCCAATCCAATTGGAGCTCTGATTATTATTATAAGTATTATTCGAATACGGATGTTGGAATGATTTTATTTTAATGAGGAACACTTTCCTATCGAATGATTATTACGTTCCATATTACTGCAAACGTGGTTTTTAAGAAACCACAAATAAAATCGATACAGAATCACTCATGACATTTGAAATCGATTTGTTTATTAATTATAATTTGTGTGTCTAGCAAGATAATTCTTTTTCTATTCTACTTATTTCTTTATGTAACGTTCTTGATCAAGTGGCTTATAATGATTAATCATTCAATTATCGAAAAAGAAAAATCATGGAAAAACTGGAGTCGTATAGATTGATTATAGTGAAACGAATGAAGCGGAACATTATTCACGTTAACGTGAAACAGGTTTTGGGATGTTTATCTATTTGATACTTGATGCTTAAATTTACAATTCTTCTACAATTTCTTTGCATGCGAAATTACTTTAAAATATAATTTTTTTTAACTTGTATCCTTCGGTGTAAATATTTCCAGAATGAAAGCGTCTCGATCGGGTCGGATCAAAACAGGAAACGATAATTCGCTAATAATGCACGTTGCAGCGTTGTCCTGAAATTGAGGACGCGACTTAAAAATAGTAGTCGGTCCTCTACCCGCCTTCGCCGGCATTAAAATACGGCTCGAACGACGAATATATTTTTTCGTTAAGATGCATTTATCCCACAACAGAACTTTCTTAAAATAATCCTAAAAATACTGCAACGATATTTCCGGCGACAACACTTTGTCATTCCACTTTCCCGAACGGACGGCGTCAAACTCGAAGCTCGCGTTCATCGTGTTACACGAATTCGTCATTAGCACACGTCAAGCTGAATTATCGTCAAACTCTCGTGCCTATGTCACACGTCTAATTATTTCCATAAATGCGATAACCCGCCGCAAGTTTTGCTATGAGCAATTTCTCTGACAAGAAGTACGACTAAAGTTTATTGTGAAACGCCGGGAATTACGCACACGTAATTCGTACTTAACTCGCTAGAAGCGGCCGGTAATTTGCGTTAAACGTATCGATCACTCTTGTCAACACCACATTTCGTTAACCGACTTCCAAGAAGAACGAACCAGTCGGGGCTCGTTCAGAAAGGAAAGTGGCGCTCCTTGAAGCGAGAGTGGAAATGGGAGCAACGAAAAATCAGGAAAAGGTCGCCGATCTATCGGTCTGCTAAGCGTAATTGCGGGCAAAGTGTAGATACCCGCCGTTCTCGCCGTTCGTGCAAATAATTGCCTTATCTTCGCTATCCTTCTACACTAGGAACCGCTTGATTACGATTTAGATATTAACCGGGAAATTTCTTGGATATGAAGTAATCCGAGAATTAATTAATAACGTTCGTGTATCGGTCAATCGGTAAACGAGTTGTTGAGTAAATTCCCGCGGCTGAGAAAATTTAAGCGTGGGAAGAGTTACGAGTTGAAAGCTTACAATCAGAGCAGGTACCATTCATTATTCACAGTTGCTAAGACTCACAATTTGGAAATAAAAATAAAAGAGAAAGTCTTTAAATTGCTATAATAAAGAACTCTGTGATGGAAGAAGCGAAGAGGATCAGTGAGTGAAATGTATAAACGAGATTTCGAAGACAATTGAAAGAACTATTCACCCGGTGCACCACAGTGTTGTGCGAAACACCTCCTTCGAAATATGTCGAAGAATTTGTCTAGAACGTGCCACGAAATTCATCAACAAGATAATTAATAGAAGAGGACCGCAGGAAAATGATGCATGGACCGTGAAAGCAAATAAAAATACTCTCCAAAATGGATCAAGCTATCTTCTTGTCTCTATTGATATCACTGACGGTAAGGTTCAAACGTTTTACCTAAGAAATGTTTAATCATAATTTATTGCATGTTAAAATAGTTTTTGGATCGGCTCCAATTCGCTCCGAACTTCAATGCCGAAATCATAGATCATACCAAACTGTTTTTAAAAACATTATTCGTATGTACGGGAAGGGCAACAAGACATGGTGCCTTTGAACTTTTCAAGCCGATTCAAAAGGATTCGCTTTTTTGACATATGTCAGTGATTTTTCTGTAGATATAATTCGTGTAAACTCGTTTGGTTTTGAAATGAAGGAATAAATTATTGGATGATGTGTTAACACGAACGAGTATGGCTTTGGTTGGCAGTAGAAATTATATTCTGACCATTTCTATTTACGATCATTGAATGTGAAATTAAGACATCTTATCGTACGTACTATTTAACGAGATTTTAATTCAATCTGCCTAAAATTTAAATTCAAATATAAAAATTTGTAAATTTCCATGTTTCTTAATAAAACTTTTTATCACAGTATCTCATTTCATAAATATTAGTGGAATAAAATGTCAGATTTTATTAATTCATGCAAAAGGCGATTAATTAATTAAAAATTAATATTTATCGAATTGCATATGATTATCAAATGTGCATATTATTGACATTAAATATTTAGCCAATAATAGTTAATTCTAAAATCCTCGTATTCGGTAGGGACAAGTATCCATGTTCCTTATACATATGTATATAATGTATTATAATTTACACTTTCCATGAAAGTCGTCAGGCTGCTGATTCATCGAAAATGTTTCGTTGAAAGACAAATTACAGGATATCTGGCGCCTCATGATTCAATCCCGACCACATTCACGACAAATATACGTACATATGTGTGAGTGTCGAGAAGTACGATCCCCATTTTTCTGCCCCCTCTTATTTAACTACTCACTTTTTCTTCGTTCTCCTTCGATCGACTTTTATTTTCGTTTCAATCGTTCGCTTCGCGGGATCGCATCCCGTTTATGGCGACGGCTTACACCATCACCGTGAAGCATCGCGGACTCGTCTCGCTCGAGTCAAGATGATAAGAATATGTAACTCCTTTTGGGAACGTCCCTTTATCCGGGTGCGTCACTGAAATTCGTCGAAAACGTGTCGGTGTTTTTTTTTTTTTTTTACTAAGACCATTGCATGTTTCAACCTCTCTGAGAGAAGTTCCTCTCTTGACTTTCTTTTGAACTGTCCCTACGATACGCTTAAAACAGATCCGCATCTTGCCGGGACTTTGCTCGTAAATTAATTTCTCGGGAAAAACAATCTTGTTTCTTCTACCCTTTTTTTTTCTGAATCGGTTTTTGTTTTCTCAAGACTTAGAGAGCGCCGGAGGAAAAAGTAGGAGTGAGAAATGATACGCCTTCAAGCTTTCTGTTTTTATAGATACAGAGCCTTGAGAAAAGATGGTCTAGAGATTTGTAGCCTTTTAAAAGATAGAGATAAATCGTCTAAGATATTTTAAGAGGGGTGAACGTTTCGTCATCCCGATCACATATGAAACCAATATTACGCAATTTCAAGTATGTTAACATTCACACCAATGCATAATACATTTGGTACATTTTTTATAAAAAAAAATAAAAATTTTACACAACGAAAGATTGTTGATTAGCGTAAGATTCAACAAGCCTGGATGCTGTGATTCCTTTTACGGGTATGCACTTGGTAATGTATGCAACTGGTAAAACGTTGTATTAGTAAAACGTTTTCAAGGCTTACAGAACACGTTTCAGTAAATCAGCCATAAAAGTTTCATAAATTCAACACTGTTTTTCACGCCAAGTAGTTAATGAATTGTCAAGTGCGCTTGCTATTAATGTTATTATTACCATTTACACGATTTAACGGGACGTTCTCGCATAAAAGGTAAATTCACAGTTCTCATGAACATCCTCAATAAACGGTTGTATTTTAAAATTCCGATGAACACGTTCGCTGAGTAGTTGTTTGAAGTCATCTTATATTTATTAAAAACTATGAATAAAACGATATTCAGAAACACACTTATATTAGAAAATATGGTTTCGAACAAATCGCAAATATGTCCTTGATTGACAAGTAGTATGAGCCAGAAATGGTCCGACGTCCAGGTATCGGACCTAAAAGAAATTCTGGTAGGCCCCTCAATAGATTATTAAGAGGTATGCAATAATTACTGAAAATTAATCGTAAAATTACCAACATACTTAAAGCATATTTAATTCTTTATGAATTTTGTACGTGTTTTTTTTTTGTCAAGTAACTTTCTGTCAATTTCAACAAACAACATTAACATTTGTTTCTATATTGCTTTCGCAGCTTCATGGTAAAAAATATGGAAATATATGTAACAACATGATACATAACAGAGCATTCACGTCGATTATCACAAAAAACGAAATGAAACATTCTCACGCATTCCTTGTGAACTGTATACGTATAGTCTAACGATTGGTCGTAAAGAAAATAGAGACATGGTATTCCTCGTTAAACAAACAAGATGTTCTTTTATTTATCAGCGTGCTCTACGAGTACCTCGTAAATTACGCAGTTTAATTGTAGTGAGCGCTGATTTTTTCCCCTTTTGCGTGGAGATGAGCAGAAACCCGTTCATGATGACGTCCAAGGTCTATCAAGGAAGTGGCACATTGCGTAGTACGCATTCCGTACGTTAAATGTTGCGGGCAACGCTTATTCTTAGACCGAGTAGATAGTACATTGAAGCAGATTCGAAACGCCTTTGACTCCCAGGAAGCGAATGAGATTATCCTTGATCCAAATTCATCGAACAAAACTCGTGCCTCTGACTTTCCCAAGCTTAACGATCGTCCATTAACTGAGAACCGAAATCCATCACCGCCCACGCTGTACTGCTTCAGATTGTCAATGGTACTTGGAACACAGTATATCTTCTTCAGGGTGCTCTGGAATTTCTTTTGATAGAATGCGTCTTTGACAACCACGAAATATTTTAATAGAATTAAAAATGGAATTAAGTCTTATCAAATCCAATTTTGTACATGAAATATTTAGCTGCGTATGGATATTCTTGACGTTGACAAGTTGAAGAACGTCATATTCAAAGTCAGATAGTCTTCGCACATGATAGTATGATAGACTGCATTAAAAATGCAGAATATTCTCTTCCACGGGTAGGCTAAATGTAATCCATCCAGGAAGTTCTGTGTGTCTCTCAGCATTTCCTCGTTTTCGTGCCACGGGATACGCGTGTACCTAGTCCGAAGCCAAGGCATTGTAATAAATTACAACTGTTCCGCAGCTTCTTGTGAACGTTTCACTCGTAATATTTTTGTTCTCTTTGTCGTGAAACATGGACCTTTCAAGGAACGTCTTTATAATATATTTTTTCTAGTAACGATACCTCGTGAATTTCAATTCTAAAAATGTATTTTTCAATTAATTTGCGCAAACACGACTATAAATTGTATCTCGATAAAAAAATAGAGGAAAAGGTCGGTAACTGCATAATTCGATAATAAATTGCGATCGTTATATCTGGTATAGATTAATTTATGATTCGATACTTATAAGAGGCAGCCGTTTAATTTCGTTTGTAGCGTACCTAACTTATAAATTGTATCTATCCTTCTTCCTTTCGACTCTCGATCGATTTGCTGTTTCTCACGTGCTGTGCAGATTTATTTGATTGACGTTGGAGGATATTTTATTCATGGACTATCAGTTTCGCGTCTCGTCTACGTCCCAACGTCATGGCACGCGTTTATTCGCAGGGTCATGAACGCGCAGGTTGCAATCGCTCCCCTTACGCTGTTCGCATCTCCATTGACAGCTTCCACTGTTCGTATTCGGTTTAATGGACATTAAAATTTTGCCTTTATTATTCTCTCCTCTACTACAATCATATTGTTATATTACATTAACTCTGTAATCATCAGAGTATCAAATTAAACACCCGTTTGAAATAATTTAACATTCATATCTAACTTTGATACCTAAACTCAATTAACGTCAAACCGATTTTCACAGATTATGCTCATAGGTACTAGTAGGCTAGTCATTTCCAAGATAGTCTGCGGTTACCAATATGCATTATAACTCCTACGAGATTTCAGTCCCTCGATTAGTCCGGTATGCAGTCTAAGCTTGCACAAGAGATTGTAATTAAGCGAGAACCAGATCATTGATCTCCCGATCCCTTACGCTTCTTATGTGCAAGTCTACTTGGTATACCTCTGATATTTTGTAGCATAATTGTAATGTAATTATTCCATATAGTCTCATTAACAACAATAAAGTAACCGATCATTGATTATGATTCATCTACTCATTACTTTCAGATAAACTTTCATAGGTGCATTTG